TTTTTTTATCTCAAATGCATTTGCAATACACATATATTGTTATGGACCCTACAAATTAATTTTTTTCATCCAATATGTGATACGCACGAGACTAAACGTAGAAGAATGGAACAAAGTCGGATAATGAAAAAATAAGAATACGCTACTTACAAACAACTTATGCATAAACAGATACACACAATTGTCTATTATCCTCAAAAACACAGATATATTACTCCGGGGAATATTTATTTATGCCGCATTGGACATTCACAACATTCTTGTATACAAGTATTACCATTCAAGCAATGTTATTTGGACTTAAAATGCTGACTTAATCAATCACTGTCATTAATTTAACTGTGGGTCCTAGTATTTATTGAGACCCAGTATCTATTCAATGATTATAATTGATTAAGTCACTAAATCATGACAAGGTTTTAAGTCAAAATATCATTTCTCTTTAACATACCTGATGACATGTGAACATGCCTTTGAAACTGATACCCACATTCTATATTTTACAAACATAAACAAGTTCTAGGGCATTAAAAACCCTAATAACATCTTACAAACTTAGTTATACAGACACACATACATAAATATATATATTTATATTTATATCATTATACTAGCATATTTATATATTTATACTACATACATACTATACTATACTATACTATGGAGTTCTTCGTTTATTCGGATTGATGTACCACGCCAACTCAATTTTGATAATGACACAAAATCAGTTGGGTATGAGTTTGAAAGGAGGCTTGACAAGTGCTGGTGCTGGATCATATTTTCCATAGTCATTTGTGTTCACTTTGAGAAGCCTTTCATGTATATCAGATGCTTCTTCATGATGCAATTGCTCCCCTGATATTTTCTGCCACAAACAAATATCCCAAAAATAGATCATGAAAAAACCATAATAGAAGAGAGAGAGAGAGAGAGAGAGAGATCAACAACAACATGGGTTATCATGGTTTCGAAATTGGAGGAGGGTAGGGCGACCAAACGTAGACAGGTTCGCTTTCAGGACGATCCTAGTCAGTTGAACCCCAAATCCACCAAACCGCAAAAACCAATTTAGCAGTCTACTTCTTATAGCTGTTGAGGTGTTAAACGAATCCCATATTGATTGGTGATGAGTATATCCTAGGCTATATAAGAGAGCGGATCATTTTACTTAATAAGTGCACTTTTTGGGTTGAAAATTCATGTCCAACAAGTTGTATCAAGTCATAGTCCAAGCTACTGTGTGGACTCGGTTCCTTATGCAAGATGAGAGAACAATGATGATCATCCATTATAAGCATTGTTTGAGAGGGGGTCGTTGAGATGTCGATGGAGTCCCACATCAGTTGATGATAAGATGGTCCTAGGCCATATAAGGGAACAAATTATTCCACCTACTAGATGCGTCTTTTGGGTTGGAAACCCATGCCCAACAAAAGCTTGGGGGTGTGATCATGCATGGTCATGATAGCAAGGAAGTTATACCAATAATGAAAATCTAATTCAACAAAAAGATCACTAGAAAAACTGCATCTTTTTCTTGTATTTCATCATTTCGGATTTCAAACTATTATGACTTTTAAGAGTCTTGAATCATTATATCTACCTGATCTAATGAGTCTTGGACCAACATAAAGCATTGAAATGATCAAGAAAAAAGAACACAAAAGGAAACAAAATTAAATGAAAAACTTTCTCCAGCAATGATTAGTGACAAACCTCACGAGTTGCACCCAGTTCCTTCTCTGAGTTGTTCAAAACCCTGAACTTTCTACCTGCACAGGCAATTTTACCATATGAATGCATGGGAAACTGTAAATATATTAAGTATATGGATCAAAAGTTCTACAAGAATAGTTATTCTGATGATCACATGCCTTGCACTAAGATAAACAAACAAGAGAACTTTATCCCAAAACAAGATATTCAAAAAACCAAAAGAGAGATTGTTTGGCATTTTAACTCTAAACATAAGATGGAAAGCTAGAAAGGATTTAGGTTAGCTTGCAGCCCAAATAGTTGGCACAAAGGCTTCATTTTTCCAAGCTCATCTCCAAACTTATTCAGAGAGAGATTGTTGGATAATACAAAAACCTGTATAGTTACTACTTGTAGGCATGTAGGTGGATATAACATGACTTGATATTAATCATGTTCGACCATGGGTTAAGGTTGCACTATCGATTTGGAGGGTATTGAGATATATCCATCATGACGTTGTGCAACAGTATTTTGTGATACATACTAAACAATAAATAGAAGAAGTAAATCATGAAACAGATTCAAACTATATCACAACGTCGAGAAATAGTATTTGGTTCTATGTTGCAATTCAATGATAATGACTCAAACGACTCCATCGACCTGAAATGTTTTTAAGTCAACTAATAGACAATCGAGACTCGCAATTGACACCAATGTATATCACTCTTAAAACAGAAGGTGTTGAGACCTATATGACTCATTTAAGACGTATTGGCTAGTTTTGAGAGATACTTTGAACCATACAATTGGCAGGTTCTTGCTTCCCCCCTGAAACTCTATAGAGGGTCTCATTACCCACCTGCAAATGAAGTTGACAGAAATGAAGCAAAAATGAGAAGGAACAGGAGACAAATCTTCTTCAGAAGCAGGAGACCCATGTTCTGCAACTTTGATCTCTCTCCCTCTCTAAAGCTCTTTTTGCACACTCGATAATAGAACAAATGGTACTTCTTCCATTCTATATTGCCCTGAAGATTAAATTTACTAACAGTGCAGTCTTGAGGATAAACTGAAAATGGATAGTTTATTATAAAGGATACAATGTCTTTGCTCTTTTTTTGAGTTTAAAATTCAAAATAGAAAAGGTGAGGGAGACCACTTTGCTGTTGTTGGGGCACTAAGTCTAAAGAGTTAGTGGCTTATCATAAATTATTTACAGTTAGGGTATGGCCCTGATGAAAAGTTTTATATGCTCCTTAATTCATTGTAAAGAAAAAAGTTTACTAATTATTGCATTACATGCTTGCACATTGGCCAAAAAGCCCTTCTCATATCAATCTTGGTTGTACTCATCTATGTGGATGAAGTGCTTGTTTAGTTGTATTTCAAGATGGGTATCAGATTAGATAGTTCAGACTAATCTCGTATAGATGGTTAAAATATTAATCATTTTTATCATATTTTTTGCACAACAGACTAAGAACTCTATAATTATCACCAGTTCATTCCCACAATTGGCTTTTGTCTGTCAACTCGCCTCTTATTTTGAGCTTGATCCCTTCCCTTTCCACCCGATTTTGACGAACTCATTCTTCCCACATGGGCGCCACAATGAAATTAGTCATCCCTTTCCATCCTCCTATTTGTAGCTCCACGCCCTTTGCAGTGCCAGGATTGGTTTTGGGGCAGAGTTAAGGACTGTCACTTAAATTTAAACCAAGTTTGGAGACACCCTGGTAATAAGAGGAGTCGAGCTAGGTTGATGTGAGCTAATTTATATGCGTATCCATATGATCTTTGGAGATGCAAGAGCAGTTTCATTTCTTTTTTGTTATTTTTTTACTTCTTTTCTTTCGTTCTAAATTATACAACGAAATCCAGTGATTATTTGATGTACTTGAGTTAAAACTCAATTGTAAACACCAAAAACCCAATTCTATTTGAGTTATTTAGATCCTATTTTCAATTACTAACAGATTTAGATATTGAGTGTAAAAAATAAAATCTGTCAAACATAAAGATCAAATTAAACCAAGTGTTTTTATGCAAATCCGATGCATCGATATGCCTACTCCTACCCATAAACACTTGGCCAATGATCATTGGGCATGCCAAGTTGGGTTGAGGTTAAAAAAAAAAAACAAAGATCATGACATGAAGCCTTCTTTAGTCATTTTGATAACCTTAAAGGTGAAAATCATTGAAATTTATATACCCTATTTACAATAAAAAATTGCATGGAAGCTATGAATAGATTAAGTGTTTTCAATCATATACAGTAAAGCACATAAAGACTCTAGTGGAGATTTGGAAACCATAGTAGATAAAATCATGTTGCAACCGTTGGATTAGTGATAGAACCTACTAATTTGACGGGTACAAATAATTTGGTACACACCTTTTGGTGTGCATAGCAATGCTGAACAATACTTGATGAGTAGGGTTTTTTGTTTGCTTTTTGGTGTGGTTTGTAGTTGAATTAGGTACTCATAAAATAGCTTTTGTGGATGAGTAGTGCTTTCAATTATCCAAAACGACAAGGACAACGCACCAAATTCCACTGAAAGGACAGTGGTGGAGGTATAAAGAGAAGGCACTATGGGGCTTTTAAAATATTTTATTATTTATCTCTCCTCTTTTTTGTAATAAAGTGGTGTTAGGAAAGTTCCCCTAATTAATTATGTATATTAGTCATTCCCTTCACAGTAAATGAGGGTTTGACTTATCACTTGTACGGTTGATGGTGGATGCTGCATTATTTGCTTCACAGATTTAGAAATTTTTTTTTTTTCGTTTAATGGTAAAAAATATTCAAATTAATTTATACCCATTTCGATTAATCTCTTTTCCGGTCTAACCATAGGCAAACTAACTATGCTAAAACTAAAATATTTAAGAAAGATGCATCCTTTATAATCTAGTTCCGAGAGTTGCCACGATTCAAAATGCAAGCATGATGGTATCCTGTTGTTGTTCTACAGTTTGTGGTAACAGAATGTTGTCAACGTCCAATGTGGCAAAACAATCAAACGGGAAGCAATCAAGAATAACGAAAGCAAGAATTATGCTGTTCGACATAAAATTCTATTTATGTCCACGGAAGCGGCTATTTTTCCTTGTACAACAATCCCGACTTACAACGTATTGAAAACCTCAATTCTAGTCAATTCACATAAACAGAATTCTCGTACAACTCGTACATTCAATACAATTGTATTGTGGAGCAACGCTACCCTGGCGGCACCTCCAACATATTACAAACCAGTCTTACTGTAATCGGACCAATTTGACCAGTTGATCTAAAAGTTAAACCAGTGAACTATTAACCGCCAGTCTGCTTTTGATAACATTGTTACAAACATGTATTTGATGGGCCGGTGGGATTGGAGTTTGCGTACGGTGAATATGAGTCATATACGTGACACAGTCCTCTGATTCATAGAATAAAGCCCAATAAATTTCTCAATTAAAATCTGACGGGTTTGTGTTGGAGCGGGTCAAAATAACAACAACAACAAAAACAAAAAACTTGAATCTTAGTACCCATGATATTTACAGCTAGTGGCAAATCAAGTGAGCAAGTCAAACTGTACAATCAGAGTTGCAAGCATTGTACCAAGCTTTTAACATACACATGAAGCATTCAAAAGATCAAACAAACAGCAAGTACAAAGAACCTACACAGCATACAACTCCAAACTTGAAGCAGGTATCAAATTTTCTCCACTTGAATCATAGCACACCATCTAAACCATGGCAGTCTCATGGCGCAAACTGTTTTCTCTGCTATAACTGGCCTTTGCACCCTGACCAACAATAAAAGTGTTATTTGTCACTTGCAATATAAAACATGTACTATGAAGTCTGTATGATTTTTTCAGTTTTCGTAGCTATTTTATGGCAGCTGAACGAGGAAGGTTGCCTTCTTTTCTTTTTCTTCTTTATCTTTTTTAAAGGAGCACAATAAATGTATGAGATGTCACATGCTTAAACTGTCAAACAAAATTCAGAAGTAGTTTCAGAATTAAGCTATCAGTTTTACTTAGTCTCCTCCACTTATGAATAGATATCTCAAATTACCAGCAGTTTCAGAATTAATTAATTGGATAAGCAAAAGAGAAAATGTCATATGTTCCTATTTCATATGGTGTCCGATTGGGACTCTTAACTCTAAGATGGCAGACAAACAGAATCCAGGACTAGGAAACTTAGGTCAGATAACTAAATTCAAGTTAAAATTAAGTACACTCAAGAAAGCTAATTTCTTTGTGACATTCATGTCTTTCATCAATGGAGACCGATTGACTGGCACTAAAACCCTGCATCAATCATCCCCAACTCTCTCAGAACAAAACAAAATTTATCAAATTTATCAACGATATTAGGATCTCCACTAGAATTTCAAATTATACTCTGGAACAATTCTCAATATTCGAGGGAAGGATTACCGATCCCATAGAAAAGGAATGTCTTTGTTTATGTCCTGTTATGCATTTAATGTCACTATTTGTGCTTTTAGGCAGGAAAACAAAACTAGCCTAAAATTAAAACTTCTATAAATACAGATACACCCAATACATCGAAACTCATTGCCCATGGATAAAGAAAAACCGTTTCAACATAAAAAACGACAGAAACTAAAGCAAACATATAATAACGAATTCAAAATTGTAACCAAAAGTCGCCCATTGGTTTTATACCCAATTCATAACTAGAGAGTTTTCTCTGGTCCTTTGCTAACTGGGGCTAAAACTCCGGAAATGGGTCTAAACTTCTTGGTGGGGAAATTGTTGCTCCCTCCACCGACTTGAAGGATGGCTAGAAGGGAGTTCTGTTTAGCCAAATAGCTACTAAGAAAGCAATCAGTTCGCTTATAGAAGCAGAGGATAGATCAACACATAAGATGGGTTACGCCAGATAAATTGCCCGCTGTTGATCCAAAGCATGAAAGGAGAAATGATTAATAATTGATTACTACTAAGTTCATCCACGACAAATCAACTGTTGGTGGAAACTAGAAATTGTTTGGCCTCCTAAAATTCAGTCGGATTATTTTAAGTATTTTAACATCATCCCCTGTGAAATGAAGACTATTAAGACATTTAATAAAGAGGCATTGAGAAGTGTACCCAAGACAATTTTCCTGCTATAGAACTTATTAGTCCCATACTGGATTGTTTCTTGCTGTCTTCATGCATTTTTTCCCTCACAGAATAAAACACTGCCCCCATGATTTTCTGTTATGATTTTTTTTCATTTTTGTCTAAAAATGTAACAGAGTTCGACCATAATGAGATGATGTAGTTTCCAATTCCAAATGTGAACAATCAATAAGGAAAAGAAAGTTACAGGCCTCATATTAGAAAATGAACTTCACTGATACATCATTCGCATGCAAGAACTTTTCAAATCTTAGTAAGATGAAAAGATGTCAATATGACCAACACTTACTTGGAAAATTGTTCCCAACTTCTTCATTGCTTTGGCCCGCAGCTTGAGAACATCCTTTGGAACACTAGGGTCTTTAAGAACCTGAAGTGGAAGCAGTAAATCAATATCAATTTTTCAATATGCAGGAATGATTAATTTGCCACTTATTTTGCATATCTTCCAAATAATGAAAGGATTAAATCTGTATGTATGAAGAGTCCAGCAGAGTTATAAAGCCACAAAAACATGTTAAATTATATGTAGCTATCTGGATTGTACTTAAATTAATAGCAGGTCAATTATATTTTTTGTAATCCCAAGCAGAGAAAATCATGGCATCACATCTTCCTCTATTCATTCACTTACAGTTGAAGTAGGCTATACTAAGACCTGTTGCTAAGATTTTTTAAAATTTTCTTTTAACCAAAAATGTGAAGAACATATTTCTGGGATCACATCTCTCTTGGATGAATTGATCTTACAGATTAAGCATCATTGGCATGATTATCTCTGTCTAAGTGATCTTACAGGTGGAATTCATAACGTGTTGCTAAAACTCTTATCTAAGATCATTTTTAGAGAAGGCAAATCCCTCCCAATATATTTCCATAAATNATAACGTGTTGCTAAAACTCTTATCTAAGATCATTTTTAGAGAAGGCAAATCCCTCCCAATATATTTCCATAAATTAAATGCATCCAACATGATTTACAAATTTCTGAACTCCTAATAAAATTTTGGAACTTACTGCTTGGCAAACACTTGATAAAGTCGTCTCAATATCCACCACATTAATCTGCCAAAGGGAATTAACCATCACATCTTTCTTATCTTCAATGGTTTTTAGTATATTCTCTTCTTTGTTTTCTCCTTCGTTCAACTTCTTCAGCTCCTCCTGTATCTGTATTAAAGACACAGCACCTACATTTGAAAAGAAAATAAGTTTGTAGGGTGCATTTGTAGTTCAGATAAATATCACTGACCTAAAAGTTTGCTTCAGAAAAGTTGTACCTGAGGCTGCCATAACTTGAGATTTGATCTTGTGTCCTTTATCTCGTACCCATTCTGCTAAAAATGGAACCTTCATATACCGCTTGTCCTTTGCAATTTCTCTTGCAGCTTGCCTGGTGTAAATATAACCAATAGTATGCAGCATAGCCTCGCCAAAAGCTGAAAGTTATAAGAAATGGGTTCAAGTGAACTTCAGTAGGAGGTGGATGGAAAAACGGTGAAACCCAAATTCTGCATATTTCTTTCCACCATAACACATTTGAGCATGGTAAGCTTTCCTAGAATGTAAATCCAATATAACTGACATTCCCAGCTTCCTCGATTTCCAAATCACGATGCTAATATAACAATTGTGTCAATGATTTAATACTTGGTTCTCCTGAGCCAGTCGCGGGTCCTATACTGGACCACATGAGGCATAGCCATTTGGTTAACCAGTTGTCCTGGTCTTGCACTCGGTACAAGAGAGATTGAAGCCCAAAATCAAAAGGAAGTTTTTAAACACAATAGTTAATAACCGGAGATCAATAGTTGTGGAAGTAAGAAATTTTATTACTACTATTATTATTAAACCAGAATAGCAATTAATTAAACTATCAAAAAAAGGGAAGAGAGAACATTTTTACCAGCATGCGAAAGACGGCGGGCTTCAGATTTGGCCCATTCCACGAACTCATCAGTCCGACCATTGACAAACGGTTGAAGGCGATCTTTCAGTATTGGTATAAGCTTTGCTTCCCTCTCCTTTTGCAAAGTCTATAGATTGAAAGTAGGCAGAAGAGTTTCAACGTAGTCGTACCAAGCAGTTGGCTATTTGAGAACTATAATGAGGATTGAGGAGGAAGAATACCTTCATCTTCTCCTGAACTTTTTGCATACGAACTTCAGGAACCTGTGACTCGTCAATTTCAACTTCTGCCAAAGACGCCAATGCAAGTTGCCCGATATAATCCTCAAATAATTCACTCCCAAACAGCATCCCAAAAACAGCTGAAGGGTCCACCATGGAATCCCTAACAAAGGGAGACAAAAATAAATAAAAATAAAGAACAACCCTTTTTGTAGCCTGGCTTCTATTGTGTTAACTAAAAGAAGTTAAAGAACCTTTAAAAATAATGATGAAAGCTTTCAAGCTGCATGTTCATAATTGAAAAAGAAAACAAAAACATGGATGTTTGCATAGCAATGACCATTACAAGCCCTAAACAACTTTTTTAATCTTCTTTAATATGAATATCCTTACTGTGAAACTCCAGCTTTTCCATATTTGTTATAAGCTTCACGCTTCTCAGGATCACTCAGAACTTGATAAGCCTCCCCAAGTACCTTCACATATAGACAATTACCAAAAACATAATTAATATTGTAAGAAAAACTAAACCCCAAAAAATAGTATTGTAACTATAGAAATTTTTGCTTTTTCATTTACCGTATTAGAGCTATATAAAACCATTAACTTAAGATAAATGATAGGAAATGAAGTTAAAGCAAATTCTAAAAAGGAACAATTAAAAAATTGAATTAGCTTTCCAATCCTTTCTCGTATAGGTAAGCCTGATCTATTTATTTAATCTTCAAAAAGTCTTACTAAGTAAAATATATTGATGCAGAGCGTTCTTCTTTATTGATAGATTTCCTTAAATTTATACGACAAGAGGAAATAAGGATGATTTTGCCAAACTGTAGTCAGGGTACTGGAAGTCTGGAATTGAAACTGCAAAAGTCATTCTACCCAATCAAATTTCTGAGGCCCAAAATCTACATTCCCAAATGAAGCATAACTGCGTATGTATGATACCTTACCTGGAAATTATGAGCAGCTTTTGGGTCTCCAGGATTTTTATCTGGGTGAACTAGCCTTGCCTGAAAGAAGATGTATTGAATTAATTTCGAGCTTGAGAGAAGTCATATCGTCATTAAAATTTCTCTGCTATTCCAAAATTCTTTGTGAAGCAAATCCAAAATTTTCACACAAGAAAAAAAATTGAACGGATGTTCTATAAACTTTAAAAGCAAAATTAATTTCTACAAGCATGTTCAGATACCATTGCCACATCAAAATCGTGAAACAGATCTTGCAGCTGAGGGTTAAGCAGTCATTGCGAATACTTAATTTACGTGCTAATAACGTGGTCATAGCCACATTGTTTTTAGCAAAAGAATTCGTGTGACAACACAGAACTGCATACAGACATGAAAAGTTGCCAAATCCAATGTGAGATGATAATGGCGAGCCTTGTTGGATTCATACATGTATCAATCCAGGGATATAATCATTTCTGTCTAATACTAGATTTGAACTCGTGTTTGAAAACCATGAAACAGAAACACAAAATTGAACATATTGCACATAATAAAATGGAGGTGTGACCTTGATGTAGTAAGCCTTCTTGATCTCCGCTGAAGATGCACCCGTACCGACTCCCAAGATGTCATAGTATCCAGTCTCCTTCAGCATTGCTTAAAAATCACAAATTTACAACACCCACACAATGTCAAACCTTCAATCAATCAACTAAAAAAGAAAAATCAACAAAAATAAATAGCAATTCCTATATGTACGTAGATAAATCGACTCCCAATATGTCATAATATTCAATTTCCTTCACCGTTGCTTAAAAATCATAAATTTACAACAACCGCACAATTTTAAAACCTCAATCAATCAATTAGAAAAGAAAAATCGACAAAAATAAATAGCAATTCCTATATGAACGTATATAAATCGACTCCCAAGATGTTAAAATAGTCAGTTTCCTTCACTGTTGCTTAAAAATCACAAATTTACAACACCCACACAATTAAAAAAAATCAACTAAAACAAATAGCAATTCCCATATGAAAGTATATAAATTGACTCCCAAGATGTCATAATATTCAGTTTCCTTCACCGTTGCTTAAAAATCACAAATTTACAGCACCCACACAATGTCAAACCCTCAATTAATTAGTTAAAAAAAGAAAGAAAAATTAACAAAAATAAATATCAATTCCTATATGTACATATACAAATTGAAATTCAAGAACAAATAATGTAATGAAGCCACCACATAAAGCACAATATATAGTTCAGCGGACTGGTTTTTAAACTGTACCATTTATATAAAAAAAATGGAGAACTTACAAGTTCTTGGTATTAAAAATGAATCAGAACTGAATAGTCATAACAACCAAAGTATGAGCAATGGACATGAAATTGTGGATGCATATTGTGAATAAGAAAGACAGGACAAATGTCAAATTGACAGCCCAACCAACATAGACAAGAACAAGAACTAATTCCCAAACAATTAATAAGCAATAAATCAATAATATATATTCAAATGCATACACAAACTCAGACTTAGATTGATACATGAAGGCGAAAAAAAAAATTAAACTTACTGGGTTCAAAAGCAGCAAGATTAGCTCCACAACCCTCAAAACCTGATACAAAACCAATAGTTCAATTGATTCTCAAAGAAATAGATCTGTCTTGGAATTGGGGCTATGAAAATTTCGAGGAGATTGAAGAAAGAAGCTCGGAATGAAACGCACAAGTGGACGAGCCCTTTTGACCTTAAATTTATGTCCTGAGAGAGTATAACTTAACCGCGTTTAACGATAAAATGAAAGCTTAACCGCGGAAAACCTCTGGAGAGTGTGAAACAGACTCTCTTCAGACACGTGGTTCAACAGACTGACCCTCCTATGTAAGGAATACACGTTCACGTTCACGTTCAATGTCACCGTGTCATTACGATCATATTTTATTACCATTCAATGAGAAAAAAAATTAGAAATAATATTATTTATACCTAAAAATAAACACAGACAAAATGTATTTAACTGAAATAAATGGATGAGTACTTATTTAATTACATAAAATTTTACTTATTTATGCTTTACTGTCCACGCGTCACGTATGTTGTACATTATCAATTTTAATAATAATTTTTTTTGTGAAATTTATAAATTACATAAAACTTATTGGTGGATAATTAGTGTATACTAATAATACACAAAAGTTGATTTATGCCTCACCTGTCGAGTAATTAATTAAGATAATAAATACCGTAAATATAAATATGAAATAAACACAAACACACACATATATATAGTTATTCGGTTAGGGTGACTTATTTCATTTTGAAGGCGACAACGATGGCAGATGAGAGAGAGAAATGGAGCAAAAGTATACTTAAGGTAAGATGAGGCATCTATGTGAGATGTAAATGTCTCTCCTTCATGTGTAGGGGACTTACAATTTATAGGTCACAAAACATTAGTTGAGGCGATGGTGTGAGGGATGTGTTACTAATCCTTCAGGGAGGATAATTATAGTTAAGGATAAAAATAATTAGANCATGTGTAGGGGACTTACAATTTATAGGTCACAAAACATTAGTTGAGGCGATGGTGTGAGGGATGTGTTACTAATCCTTCAGGGAGGATAATTATAGTTAAGGATAAAAATAATTAGAAATAGTCTTGATTTTTAAGAGTGGCTATCCCGGTAATCACTCCCCCATGTGTGCTAATATCTGTAGACTTCTTGAACTTTGGATTGCGCGGTATTCATCAGCNTATACCTAAAAATAAACACAGACAAAATGTATTTAACTGAAATAAATGGATGAGTACTTATTTAATTACATAAAATTTTACTTATTTATGCTTTACTGTCCACGCGTCACGTATGTTGTACATTATCAATTTTAATAATAATTTTTTTTGTGAAATTTATAAATTACATAAAACTTATTGGTGGATAATTAGTGTATACTAATAATACACAAAAGTTGATTTATGCCTCACCTGTCGAGTAATTAATTAAGATAATAAATACCGTAAATATAAATATGAAATAAACACAAACACACACATATATATAGTTATTCGGTTAGGGTGACTTATTTCATTTTGAAGGCGACAACGATGGCAGATGAGAGAGAGAAATGGAGCAAAAGTATACTTAAGGTAAGATGAGGCATCTATGTGAGATGTAAATGTCTCTCCTTCATGTGTAGGGGACTTACAATTTATAGGTCACAAAACATTAGTTGAGGCGATGGTGTGAGGGATGTGTTACTAATCCTTCAGGGAGGATAATTATAGTTAAGGATAAAAATAATTAGAAATAGTCTTGATTTTTAAGAGTGGCTATCCCGGTAATCACTCCCCCATGTGTGCTAATATCTGTAGACTTCTTGAACTTTGGATTGCGCGGTATTCATCAGCTGAACTTGACTTGCCTTATGATGATTTGGGCTCAACCCATGAATTGTGCCCAGACCTGATTTAAATCTAGGCTCGTCATATATTTTATTTATTGTTAAACCTTATTATTAAAAAAATTAAATATAATACTTATTTCATCGTAAAATCTAATTTGATATATATAAAAGTAGAATATAGATTTTTATATTGATATAGACATAAATATAAAAAATTGTAACTAAATGTATTACTTAAAAAAGAATTCAAATTAATTTAAAAGTCAAATACTACTTATAAAATAAATCAAAAAAACTTAGAAATCAAAGGTATAAAAAAAAATTTGATGAAGGGTAAATACAAGAATATAATTAATTTTATAATAATAAGTAAGAATAAAATCAAAAATAAAAAAAAATTCATAAATATAGACATTTATTAGTAGTATAGACATAAATTATTGAATGATTACATCGTACCAACATAGTGTAACTATGATACTTATTGATAATTAAGTTCCTATTCTTTATAAGTTATCATTAGTCAAAATTTATCCAGATTGATTAAGTGGTCGAAAAAAGAACGATACAAAAAACGGTACATTGGAAGTTTGAGTCTCACTGATAACACAAAATCATAGATTAATTGATATAATTAATCAAAATTTAGTTAAGTTCGTGTCGTATTTAATCAGATTTCTATCACCTATTTACTTTGACAGGTGTTGTGTTGAATTTACGAGCGTAGAAAATTGATATAGGCCATTCACCACTCAAGTAAGAGTTTTTTAGGTGTGGATACAATTTTTTAGATTTATTTAGGCCAAAGTGTATGAATAAATTGTTTATTCTATTAAGTACAATTTTTATAAAAAATTTTGTGTTTAGGTACAAAATTCAAATGAATTAAAATCATTTTCACTTAAACACTTTTTCTTAATGTATGCAGTCAACATTGACAGTTATTTGAGGAAAAAAATATGTAAAGATTACATATTTGTTATCTTTAATTTTTAAATTTTGAATGAGCAGTTTTGTGGGATATATGCAGTAAACGCCTGTGTTCAACTGATCTCTATAGTATGACAAAAGTTTATGCAATAACACAAAAGGTCTTCAAACATCTATGCAGTTTGTTAAAAAAAAAATTGATCTTTGCATTGAGAGTCTTCAAACGTCTGGTTCAACTAATCTTTGCAGTAAGAGTCTTTTTCAACGTCTATGTTCAATTGATCTCGGCAGTAAGATTTCTCATCTTTCTTTCAGAGGTTTTATGGCTGGATATTTATCTTCTACTCGTTGTCTTCTTCTAATCGTTTGGTCTTTTAGCTGGATATTAATATTCTCTTATGATCTGAAGAAAATGATTCATGTTCTTGCTTCTGTGCTGCAACGTAATCCTCAAAACTAGACATGATCAGATGCTTTCAGAATCTATATGAAAAAAGAAAACTCATTGTAACATTGCTCTGCATATACTTGTAGACAGAAAATTTCTCACATGCTAAAAAAAAAAATGTTACACTAAACAGTTACATCAAACAGTTAGAACAAAGCAGTTAAAATTTTATCATGCATAAGTTCACAAAATACTGGAAAGCATTTGAGGCAACCAATGTTTATCATTTGATTTTGAAATTTCGTATGATAAACAATATCCATTACATACACCATACAAAGTGTTCATTTCATGATTCCCAAAAAATACAATAACATCTCAAATATGACTATTCATATATTTCCTTCAATTTCATCCTTTCGTGGAAATCATTTAGTGTCCAAGAATTGGATTAATTTAAGAACATTTCCATCATTTTTGTTCGAAAATTTTTCACTTGTGCAGCTATCAACTTTTCTTGTATGTCTTCATTCTTTACAAGCTGTCTCATTATGTAGCAAATTAACAGTTCATAATCGACCTTGCAGTATAGGATTCGTTACTACCATTTTTTTTGAATTTTTGTGAATTCAAGTTACAAAGTAATACGTATGAATTTGCCATTTGTTGTGGACTTTTCTCATAAGATATCATTGAAAGAACATTGTCTGAAGGGTCAATGTCAATTCCATCGACTGCTTGCATTTCACTAATTTTCTGTTCAACATAATCTTTATGTATTTTTTCAATGATTGATGTTAGTGATGGATAAGATATTGCAAAATTTTTTAAAAAAAATGGGTTTCAGTTGTTTTTTACCAATATTCTTACATCCTCCAACCACACGTTCCTCCTCACTTTTCGTGGTTTCATAGAATTGTAGTGTGTCCAAGATCCAGTGTCAGTATCCAACACTAAGACTGTTCAATGCCAAGGTTTCACAAGGTTGTTTTGACCATTGGAATTCATGGGAAATACAAGGAATTGACGATCTCTTCCCAAAATGAGGTTTTTGTCAATTTGGTCTTTGCATAAATCCATGTTTTTTGTAATGAATGTCTACAAATATTTCATTTTATGGACAATTAAAATGAAATATAATGATACTGAAATAAAAAAAAAAACATGTCAATAAATTTTAATGTATCTAACATAAACTGTTGAAGAAGAAGCAACGTTTTTTATACATTGAATACTCGTTGTTTGCATCAAGTTCATGCTACATATCTCCCCAGCAATCTATAATCTGTTACAATGTAAAAAACAACGTCTAAAATAGAATGAGTAAGGTTTTCCAAATGCAACATATGTGGACTTAATAGTTACACATACATACCAATATTGTAGTATGGGCAAACAAATTAGATATCATTTTTTTTAAATTTGATACAAGATGCAAAATATACTTGCAACTATCAAACAAATTATAGGAAAACATTGTAAGTTGTACAACACTGTGATGTGCACATATAAACTATTAAGTGTAATAAGTACATTATTGTACAGTGCACATCTTTCCATCAGTTTCAATGCGTCTTCAACATTTATGTAGTTTCCAATTGAAACACCAGAACAAATGGATGTCCTACATGATCATAGCACAGTCATTTAAGGTAAGTTCATAATTTGTATAAAAGTACAGTGGTTAAATCCACGGATTTTAATGAAATAACTATAGCGTAATACGTAAATGTTAGAATATGTAATATACTTACGTAGGTCCTTCTGTATCATTGATTTGTTTTAATTGATCATAGATAGACGGATTCAATTTCTGACAAATCTTTCACAACTTTGCAATTTCTTTATTGTGTTTCTTTTTTTTTTCATTGCATTGATCTTTTCTGTTTCATCTGCAAGGGTGATAATTGAATGTGAAGCCTCAATGTGTCCCTTGCCCCTTTTCTTATTGCTATACTCGTAATCCTCATATCTTTTTCTCTTCCTTTCCTTAGTCTTCAGCTTTCGGACCATTGACGTTTGATCAATGTCTACACTGTCATTAGGCTTGGTGGTACGCAACATCTAAGTGATGTTGTGCACTGTCAACTTATTTATTTGATCTACTAATTATGTATTTT